GGTGAGTGACGGTAAGGGGGTAAGCTGTGTCGAGGTCGGTGTGGCCTACTAATTAACGTTTTGTTGATAGACTGCAGTCGAGCTGCAGGGAAGGGAAAAGTTCGCCGCCTAACCTCCAGACCTCATTCTAATAGGTATGCGGCTGTGAACCCGCGAGATCGCAAGGTCGAGAGTGAAATGATACGAGCGAGCAAGCGGGGTGAGAGAGAAAGAAAGGGCAGAACTGGGAGGGGCTAAGAGAGAGAGAAGAGAGAGGAGATGGAAGGGGGGGTGGCACCGTGAAAGTTGGACAAACATGATCGTCCGTGCGAAACCGCGTCGGACCGGGGAACGGTGGGTATCGCTGTCCTTTGCGCATGAACAGGAAAGTATGGGAAGGAATGAGCTTGGCTCGAGTGGGGATATGGCCTCGCGTGAACTGATGTAGAAGTCTTGAAGAGCCGATACGAAACGAGTCAAGGGGAAGAGAAGAGTCCGAGAGGGATAAAGAGAGTCAGACTATTGAGGAGGGCGAAATTTTGAGAATTGAATCAAATCAGCGGATTGTTCTTATCTAAATTCCAAGCTCTGACCGCTCGGGCGAACATTTGAATGAATGCAGCACTGAACTGGTATTCTCTCTTCGTGCATTGAACCGAGCGAGTGCTCCATTTTCACCAGAGTTTCAAGCTCTTGGGGGCACAGATCATTACCTGAACGAGTGTGAAAGCTGAACTGCTACCTCTTTGCCAATTTCTGTTATAAGCTTCAGGCGCTGAGTGCGCTGGTTGCTATTCAATCAATGCTGCGGTGAACCGACGCTAACTTGGTGACTATCAAACTGGAAGGCGCACTCTTCCCATTAAGACTTCTGTTAATGAATGGTTTAAGCATTTTGTGACTGGCTGATCTGTCGACCATCATTAGAACTTCTGTTAATGAATGATTCAAGCATTTTGTGACTTGCTGATCTGTCGACCATCATTAGAACTTCTGTTAATGAATGATGTAAGCATTTTAGGACTGGATGAGCTGTCGACCAGTGGTGGCTCATCGAGCGCTGGGTAGAGTGGGACACCTGCCCGTACTGTCTCAAGCAAGCTGCGGGTCATTATGGGAACCGTGTGCGGTCACTGATCAGTCGAATGAAAACGGCTGATCGGCCTACCGATAGCCGCAGAACAGCAGCGCTGGCCCCTGATTATGGCCGCCCTGTGAGGTACATTCAGACACTGTTCAAAGGAGTACTAGTATATTAATTTATTTCCTTGTCTACCTGATGTTCGAAGTAAAATCGGCAGGCGGGGAACGGCGAGAGGGAGAATCTGTTCACACAAGAAAGAGAGAGAGAGAGGTCGTACAGTCAGAGAGAGAGAGTGAGAGGTGAAGTGAGGAAGGGGGAGCGTGGGAACAGGGGGCCTGATCATGCAAGACAAAGACCTGCAGACGTGAAGCCCTGTTAATTGAGTGGAGCGACAGAAAATCGAGCTCCTTAATCAACGTGTGGTTCCACTTCCTCTTTGGATAATGCTGATAATTGAAATGACATCTGTTTGCGTCGACTGACATTGTGTCCTCTACACTTCGATCTGGCCACACTCCTGTGTGCAACAGAAGAACAGCGAAAGGGGGGAAAGCGGGAGTTAATTGATCTGAACAACATTTGAATCTTCTTAAGAAATATTATTGTGAGGAACAAGCCCTCAAGTCGCCCTATCAGACATCACATTGTTCCGTGCCAAGGCTCCAGCAAGCCCAGTGCCCTCCCTAAGTGAAGGTGGGCCTCAGCATGCCCAGTGCCCGCCCTAAGTGAAGGCGGGCCTGAATATTTGTCAAAGGCCAATTTCGACATTTCCGTATGTGGGTATTCAGGCTCTCGCAGCACGCCAGTTGGTTGAGAAGAAGCGTGAGCCTCACATTGCTGCGTCATACAGTTGGCCCAGGCATTGACAG